ATCCCGGCCACCTACTGCAAACAATCTGGGAATTTCAAAGAATAATGTCGCCGTGATCTCAAAATACTGAAAAAGAAATTGGAGAATTGTAGTTTACTTTATCACACAATAATTTGAGCCATTATTTGGGGTTGTTTTTTTTTTTTATCTTGCACTCACCAAATACAGTACTCCATATATTTAAAAAAAAAACTACAACTAATATTGAAACCAATAAAAACAACTACCGGTAAGCACAAACATATTTTTAAAAACCAACAAACTTGCTCTAAATGTTCAGCGCTTTGTATACAGTGGTGGTTGTTTTGAAGTGCTCTACAAATACAGTCGAGTGAAAACTACTTACCTAACTGAATTAAAAAAAAAAAAAGTCAAAACAAAATAAAGACGAACTGTACTGAAAAATCCAAAAGTATGACCCCATTTCCCACAGTGCTCTTCATTTCATAGCATTTCACTTGGCTGCACTGCATTGTCCAATCAGAGTTCAGCCTCTCTGCTGCCATGTCAATATAATAACAATAATCTGTCTGGGGCCTTGGGAATAAGTAAAGTAGAGCTGGCCCGTGGTACTTCAACTATATTAGCAATGGGCCTGTTTCTAAAAACCAGTCAGATTTCAAATTCGTCTCACAGAGCCAACTAGCCGGCCTACTAAAACATAAGCATGTTCCCGTCCTTTAATTGATTTGTCAGAGCAAGTCAAGTTCACCTGGCAATGCGTGGCTATCTCAATCTGAAAACAATAATTTAAGAATCAGCATCTCCGGGAAATATGATATTTAGGTTTTTGATGTTTTTATTGTATTACTTCATATAGATTCTCAAATGTTCCAGATAATCTACTGGACACTGTTTTTTTTTTTTTTTTTAAGGATCGTATTGATGGAGTTTCGATAGCTGCTACGTGATTGCGGAAATACTGTATTAAGACGTGGAGTAAATTGGTTAAGTGCTCACTGAGGGCACTGATATCACGAAAAGTGGCAGGAATGATTCAAATCAGCTGTCCCACTGTCAAGAAGCAGCATTTATTGAGTGTGTTTCCTGCCGGAATCATCACCAGTGCCTTAAGAGTGGGGAGCTCACATGCCCAGTAGCAAGACAGTAGAGGCTTGGAAAAACACTTCCTTGTCTTTTTTTGACCTACATTCAGAGATAACATCGCATTCACTTGTACACAACATCATAGGACACAGCAGCAGCCTTGTTGTTGTTTTTTAACTTCAGTACAAATATGTAAATTGAAAGTGTTCTTGTTCCAGTCACTTTCACATAATTCAGCCCACAAAGTGCTGTTCTGGATTAAATCCGTGTGGATTAGGTTAAAATACGACACCTCTAATTTGTTGCGGCAGCTCTTTCAATACGTCACAGTTTTGCAACTACTGCACACACACATTCCTATTACCCGAGAGTAGACAACACTGTAAACCAGCTTCAGTCAGTCACTGTTAGACAATACTTGTTAGCTTTTGTCACGGTTTAATAAACAATGGCATGGCTAATTCCTCACAAATGAGACTTTCTGCTGACACAACACATGCGGACGATACCCTCGAAGTGCAATATAGAAAAAACATACTTGGGCCTATTTACTCGCAGTGGATAGAAACAAGTTTGTAAATATGTTTGTGATTTAAAACAATGAGACCAAGATAAATCATTTCGACACTTTATGCTCCATGACTGCGGTTTATAACCTGTGCAACTCCATTGAAAACAAATTGCCAACAACATGTCAAATTAATGTATTCTTAGTTAATGTATTGTTGGAATCAAGACTGAACTTTTTAAGCTGCGCCATTAATAATTTACGAGCCGTGTTCCAGTCCTCACAGTGTGGTATGTTTTGTTTTCTTTACTTTTTTGGGGGGGCAAGGGGGGGTGTCAGGTTGCCCCCTCCCCCTCATATTTTCCATCAATTTTGTCCCAAGGTTCGAAACAAGGCAGCAGATGGTCAGGAAGTTTTTTTTCCTGATATATTGCATCGATCAGCATTTTGCCATGCACCGGCTGCTAGCAAGGGTCACAAAAGGCCCAGCAACTTACTTCCCATTGAGAGCGGTGACTCCCATGGTGCTTCGTGGTGTCGACATACTGGCAACATAGTTCCACTGTCGGGCCTGTGGATCCCAGCGCTCCACTGTGTTGAGATAGCTCCAACCATCATGACCCCCTACAGCATACATGGGGCCCTCCAGCACAGCAATGCCTGCACATAGTGAGCCAAAACAGATATGTTCGGGTTAAAGAGCTGCGCATGATAACATGCAAGTCCCTCATGCTTGCATAACTGACTTCCACCGGATTGCAAACTTGTATCATGTCTACATTTATCACTGCGTCCGTCTATTATGTTTGGTATTTGATTCATATTGGATACATACAAATATGTTGTAAATTGCATCCAGTATGAATGTTCCTTAAGGCTAAAGAAATGATTAAACTAATTTCAAACAATGTTTCGCGCAGGCTATAAAAATAATGATAATGATCGATTATGTCATGGCCATTTGGGAAAGGGTCGAGGCACATTTGTAACATGAAGTCATTGGAGCGCCTGCTAAAACCACAACGATTCAGACTAGCACTTACACTTTCCTTCTTACTACTCCTGCCACTCTTATTATTTCTATAATTGCCATGAATATCACAATCAGTGCAATTGCAATTAATTACATCAATGCTAGCTTTACTTCTCCCACGACACTACAAACTCTTAAATTACTGATCCAAACATTTGAATGCATAGCAGCAACTCTCATGGCAGTGACGCTTGCTTGCACATAAAATCAACCGTAAAGCACAAAGGAAGCCTGAACAACACATCAATTGTGAGCCACAGCCGGGCAAATCTTTTAAAACAGGAAGACAATGAAACCGCCTTGTTTTTCTTTGGCCCCAAATCACATAGGAAGTCTGTTTGACAACAGCACACAACAACTTTCTGTATTCGAGTTCAGTAGTGAGAGTTGAATGATTTTGTGGGAACCAGAGGACAATGCTGAGGTCGGAAATTCCGTCAACGCTGTCAACAGAGGCAATTCTGAGGGGGCGAATCGCTCTTTCAGGGTGGTTTCGAAAATCAAAATAAACGGTTTTTCTCGTCTCAACCGTGGAGCTCACGGCAAGCTGTGGGGACATCGGGAAACACATGGCGCGAATATATTTCGACTCCAAATAAGCGTGGCACAATCAGAGCAGGCAGATATTTGGCCTGAACGCAACATCAAAGAAACACCCAGGCGAGCCTTGACAAGATCTCGATGTTCTGTTACGCAGACCTCTTTCAACTGTGAATCAAAATGCTTCTGATATGAGATTTGTCGGGCGGGGAGCATTGAGGAAGAGCAGGGAGAGCTTTGCCCACCGTGCTTTGATCGGGGAAAGAGAAAATATCAAAGGTGGATCTCAAAAGATAGGTGTAATTTCAGGTTCACAGCATGCCAGCGGTTAGGAGCCTACATCCAGAAAATATGCTGTATTGCAGTCAAACTTTGTTGGCTGCCTGAACAAACCCACGACATGAAAACTGAGTGTTTATTTTCAAATGCAATGTTCAGTGTTTGTCCACTGAAACGTCATGCTGATAGACAAAGTACCAAAAAAGGAAATGAACTCAATTAAAACCTCACAGTTTACCGCCACATAACCCAAATGAGTTCATTGGAGGCGCAGTGTGAAGTTAACCAATTTCGCCTAATTTGTGCAAATAATTTTACAAATACAAACCCGAACTGCAATGGCATTGGCGAACTGTAAAACGGAGAGAAAAACAATTACTTGAATCATTTTCAACCTGCATTCAACTGAATTCACCAAAAAAGATGGTTAATGTTCACACAGACAAAAATTCTAATCCCTATATTACGGTATTATTTATTTTGTTGAGAGACATATACTCTCTCATTTTATATTTGATAGCTTTAACAGACTGAAAAAAATGTTTGAAACAGGTGAACAGGTTAATTAGAAACAGATGATTGGGTATAAAACGAGCAACCCCAAAAGGCTCTGCTGTTCACAAGCAACAATGAGATGTGGATCACCACCATGTCAACAAGCGTGGAAGAACATAACCTAACAGAACAACACGTCTAAAAGCACAGTTTCAAGCAAATTGAGACAAGGTAATTGATTTTGTTTTATTCATACTATTTTTAAAAAATTTGAAATGGGGAGCCTTGGATCAATCAAGGTTGGTCAATAAAGCGATTTGATGGATGGATGGATGGATGAATGGATGGATGGATGGATGGATGGATGGATGGATGGATGGATGGATAGAGTGAGACAGAGATAGAGTGAGACAGCGAGAAAGAGAGAGTCTCCACTTACCAAGTCCATGTCGGGGTGTTGACATGGGGGGCATGGTGGACCACACTTGGTTGACTGGATTGTAACACTCCACCATGTTGGAGGTCTTGAGCCCATCTCTTCCACCGACCACATACAACTTGTTGTCTATCACGGCCACGCCAAACTGCAGCCGGCGTCCGTTCATAACTTTAAGTGGGACCCAGGTGTTGGTGCGCAGGTCATACTTCTCAATGGTGGTTGAACCTAAAAAGGCAGAAATCCCAGTGTGAGTTGATTGCTTTGCGACAGTATGTGTGCGTTTCTGGTGTCAATGGATCACGGCACACCTTTGGTAGCATCCATCCCTCCGACGGCATAAAGTGCCCCCACTGTGGACTTTCTAGGTTTGGTTCTTGGGCTCTGAAACATGGGACGGCGCTCAGGCAGAAGATGGTACTTCATGGCCTCCATCAACAGTTTCTGGCATTCCAGATCATCAGAGAACATTTTGTTGTTTTCCAGGTCAGCAATAAGCTGCAGTTCAAGAAATTAAGAACAAACATTCACTGAATTTGAAGCCACACATTTGCTGTCGTCACAATCAAGGAGAAAAAAAAAAATCAAATATTAGCTGCAATAAAACATTCGTAGTACTGTTGATCTGCAAAGTATGGATTTTTGCATAAATATAATTTACCATCATTAAAATGTATTATTATTTTACTGTTTTGCCTTAATATGTAATAATAAATGCTACAGAGTGCAAATGCCCATCGATCCTGATTTCCTATGCCCGTTTGCCAATCCAATTTTTTGGACCGGTCTCCGCCAAGCTTGCTTGACTAACACAGCAGAAGGAGTGTCTTTAAGATGTGCCTTGTGAAGTGACAGTCTGGTGGTTGAAAGTTGATCTGAACCTTAAAAGTTGGGGTCTGACATCAAGCATTTTCGTGAACCATCTTATAGTGGCCCTCACAAAATAAAGCCACCAACTCTCATACTGGGTCTGAGAAAATCAGGGAGAACAAATGGCTTTTTTCAACAGGATTTAAAATGTTTAGTGATCCCAGTTCCATTATTGATACTGCATATGATCATGATTTGACAATAAAGTTTTACTTGACTTGATTTGATTGCTGTTTGCGGCAGTCGAAGTGCGCTGCATCATATTTCCAATATTTGGACTTGTTATTTTTCCAATAGAACCATTGTTGGATGGAATTTGTAGGAGTCATGCATTGGATTTTTATTCAACTGTATCTAATGTTAGTTTTTCATTTAGAAACGTTCTTAATCCAAGACATGCTACAACGATAACATTGTTGGGCTTTACAGAAACCCATCCACAGAAAAAAAAATGACAGCATTCTCATATGGCAGTAAGGAAGTAGACACGATGTGTGACCTGTGGCGGAAGAAGAGGCAGGCGAATATAAGACAGAAGCATTCCGAGGTCCTCTTGTCGATGCTGGACGTCGTATCTCACCCACATCATCAGGGCCTGAAAGATGGTCTCCTCATCAGGCACGTTGATGTCATCACTGGACAGCAGCTTCACTATCTCATCCGTGGGGAGCAGAAAAAACTCCTGGTTCTGAATGACCTCCAGAAAGTTTTCCTGGTTAAAGAGACGCCAAGGGAGCAGATAATCATCAGTCATTAGACCACAACTTCTCCTGATACATGGGACTGTGTGTCGAGTTTTATTGCTGCGGCAAAGGAGAGCAACGGCATGAGAGCGCAGAAAGGAGCGTGAGGGCTTCTACAGTCTTCTTCAGAGCTGATAAGGGCAATGACTTATGCTCCGTTGCTTCAAATTCCAAAGGCATAGATATAAGTGTCACTTGTTAAGTAAAATGATGGAGGCCGCAAGCAGACCGAGCTGAAAACATCTCCTTCGAAACTCTTCATCAGCTCCGAAAGCACTTTTTCCTGCTGATCATACATGACACCATTAGTCTTTTATTAGCCTTTTTTTTTTAACGAGCAACAGAGAGGCCCTGCATTATCATCACATCGCTGCAACTTTTTTGGTGTGGAAGCTCTTCATGATTGCCCTCCTAAAGATTGATCTTCCTTTTACTCGCCTGCAGCCCGGGCCATGTTACAACCCTGCACGGCAACCTTTTTCAAGGACACTATCTCCGGGCACTTCCATTAGAGATGATGAGAGATAAAACGCCCCCCGGTACCCGCCCCTGTATTATCTTATCACCACGTGTGTGAGTCTAGCCAGGAGGACTTAACATGTTTTCTTTGTCCCATCGATCCTGATTTCCTATGCCCGTTTGCCAATCCAATTTTTTGGACCGGTCTCCGCCAAGCTTGCTTGACTAACACAGCAGAAGGAGTGTCTTTAAGATGTGCCTTGTGAAGTGACAGTCTGGTGGTTGAAAGTTGATCTGAACCTTAAAAGTTGGGGTCTGACATCAAGCATTTTCGTGAACCATCTTATAGTGGCCCTCACAAAATAAAGCCACCAACTCTCATACTGGGTCTGAGAAAATCAGGGAGAACAAATGGCTTTTTTCAACAGGATTTAAAATGTTTAGTGATCCCAGTTCCATTATTGATACTGCATATGATCATGATTTGACAATAAAGTTTTACTTGACTTGATTTGATTGCTGTTTGCGGCAGTCGAAGTGCGCTGCATCATATTTCCAATATTTGGACTTGTTATTTTTCCAATAGAACCATTGTTGGATGGAATTTGTAGGAGTCATGCATTGGATTTTTATTCAACTGTATCTAATGTTAGTTTTTCATTTAGAAACGTTCTTAATCCAAGACATGCTACAACGATAACATTGTTGGGCTTTACAGAAACCCATCCACAGAAAAAAAAATGACAGCATTCTCATATGGCAGTAAGGAAGTAGACACGATGTGTGACCTGTGGCGGAAGAAGAGGCAGGCGAATATAAGACAGAAGCATTCCGAGGTCCTCTTGTCGATGCTGGACGTCGTATCTCACCCACATCATCAGGGCCTGAAAGATGGTCTCCTCATCAGGCACGTTGATGTCATCACTGGACAGCAGCTTAACTATCTCATCCGTGGGGAGCAGAAAAAACTCCTGGTTCTGAATGACCTCCAGAAAGTTTTCCTGGTTAAAGAGATGCCAAGGGAGCAGATAATCATCAGTCATTAGACCACAACTTCTCCTGATACATGGGACTGTGTGTCGAGTTTTATTGCTGCGGCAAAGGAGAGCAACGGCATGAGAGCGCAGAAAGGAGCGTGAGGGCTTCTACAGTCTTCTTCAGAGCTGATAAGGGCAATGACTTATGCTCCGTTGCTTCAAATTCCAAAGGCATAGATATAAGTGTCACTTGTTAAGTAAAATGATGGAGGCCGCAAGCAGACCGAGCTGAAAACATCTCCTTCGAAACTCTTCATCAGCTCCGAAAGCACTTTTTCCTGCTGATCATACATGACACCATTAGTCTTTTATTAGCCTTTTTTTTTTAACGAGCAACAGAGAGGCCCTGCATTATCATCACATCGCTGCAACTTTTTTGGTGTGGAAGCTCTTCATGATTGCCCTCCTAAAGATTGATCTTCCTTTTACTCGCCTGCAGCCCGGGCCATGTTACAACCCTGCACGGCAACCTTTTTCAAGGACACTATCTCCGGGCACTTCCATTAGAGATGATGAGAGATAAAACGCCCCCCGGTACCCGCCCCTGTATTATCTTATCACCACGTGTGTGAGTCTAGCCAGGAGGACTTAACATGTTTTCTTTGTGAACAAAACATTCATTCTTAAGATGCCTCAGTGCTCACTGTTGATCATTAACGTCCAGATTACAGCATGTACTTTACCAGAGCAGGATTTGAGAACTAAATACTACAAGCCCTAATGAAAAGCGGGCTGCGCATTGATCAGCTGTGGTTACACTTGATGGAGAGGCTCTTTTGGCATTGCTTTCGGACCAGTAAGTTGTAATTACCAGACTGACAGGAAGATTGAAAGCTAAAGAGTGTTTGTTTCATAATTATGTGAAAGGAGGTGATTTCACACACTTGCAAACTCACTGGTGGGTAAAACAAGAGCAGCGGGAGAGGATAGGCATTGATTCAAGCCCTGCATCAGAGGAATATGCTCAACAAGAGCAGCGGGAGAGGATAGGCATTGATTCAAGAGGAATATGCTCTAGTTTCTATGACAATACATCGACCAGAGTTGGAGCTTGTTTTGTTTTTCCACTTAGCTGGTTTACACATTACTGCGTAAAAGTAATGTATACCCGAAGCGCCACTGGCTTTCTCGTCGTAATGACCTTTTTCCATTTTGAAGTTGTACATAGCAGGAGTTGGATTGGTTAAAAAAAAAAAAAAAGATCAATCTTATATTTTAGCACGAGTCTGCGTAATGGTGTTGATGGCATAATTTATTTTCGTGCTTTCATTTTAAATTTTTATTTTCATTCTTCATGAACCGGGAAGTAGCCTGCGAACTAGGAAACGCAAGTGTGATGTTTTGCACAGTATCGCATATGTAAATTCTAGGGGTGTTTATATGTCTTTATTTCTGTGATGAACAATAAGGGTGTGGGGGTGGGGTGGGGATCAACGAGTTAATTTATTAGCTGTAATTTTAAAATATAATTTTATTGAGTTGAGACAATCTATTTCTGAATATTGTGAACTCCTGTTTGAAATGATGACTTGTGCTTTGAGCTAACCAATGTTTTAGGGAGGACAGGTCTTCAGATACAGACCTTGACTGGTGGTGTCAATGTTGTTCATTTTTTGAGAGTCAATCGACAGTGCTCCTCATGGTTGCAGGTAAGGGGTGCTTCAGTTGTTTCAAAACAAATTAGTGAACAGTCTACACTCTACATCATGCTTGGGGATAGAATTTAGCATTTAGACTTGAGCTTTTCCAGTTCCATTATCAATCCTGCTTTTCCATCTGATCATCGAGAATCTTGTCCGTTTTCATTGGGTGAAGGAACGAAATAATGCAAATAGGTGTGTTTGCCTTCACTCTATGTCTTCAACTTTGGAAAGAAGATATCCACGGTATGCACTCATAACCTGCAATGTATCCTGAGGGGAAAAGAAGGAAAAGGTTGGCGACACACTTTTCCAAGTATGTCAAGTGACCACTCGGTTTAACACAGTCTTTGCATACCTTCAAAGAAATCAGAGTGCCGTAGGAAACTGTGGACTTTCACTTGTATTGGTCTTGAGAAAATGATACATAGCGGGTTTACATGGCCACTGCAAGCATTTCATTTTGATCATTTCTGCGAGGATGTCGACTCTCTTTGCATGCACCGAGAAACAATTAAAACTATGTTTGTAAAATGAGGTACAGTACAAAATGTATTAGTCAGGAAAAAAACAAAACTCTGCGCTGCTCCAGTAGGCGACAGACTTCGAGGAAGCCCACAGATCTTTCTGCTCATTACCAAAGCGATTGAACAGGAAGTTCAGCCAACCTGTGCAGTTTGATGATTAGATTAACCTCCTGATCCCGGAAAGCGGGCTTTGTAAACAGGCTGAGCAGATGTCCTTTGGAAGATAACGCTTCGCCCAGCGTGTCACTCCTGCATGGCTAGCCAGGACCTTATCTGACAAGCATGCGTATGAATCTTAATTCAATGCAAATATTTCTCTCAGAAATGTAACAGAAATCCCATTTTGCCAGGTTGAGCGGGTGCACTAATCAATCCGCAGCAACATTGTGTGTCTTCCTGGCAGCCACTGATCTAAATTAGATAACGCGAATGTATCAAACCTTTCAATATCTATTCAAATGTGCATGTCGCCCATTTCGCCGCACACAAATCGGATGACATAAGCAAGTGAGACAACTTCATTTCATGTCTTTACAGTTTTTGACAGGTTCTTTGAATGCAGCGAGCCTCAAACTACAAGATGGTCAACTGAGAATCGGAGTGCTTGCAACAGATTGACATTTTCCGTAGACTACAAAGGAATATGCAGTATTCCATGACATTTATTTCAAAAACTAATTGTAATGTAAAGGCTATTGAATTGACAGAAGTAGTTTTTGCAGGACTGGAAATGCGATCTTGTAATTTATTACATATCTCAACTCAACTTCTTGTGTACTTTAACAGAAACCGCAGTTGGAACAAAGTGCTGTCTAGAAAGCATACAGTCCCCTCCATAAATCTTGAAACGACAAGGTCACTTCCTTTATTTTTGTTGTACACTGAAGAGGGCATTTGGGCTTCCAATCAAAAGATGAACCCAAAGTGACCTTGCTGTTACAATACTTTTGGAGAGGACTGTAACGCAATGATTTAAATAAATAAATAAACTTAGAACGAATAAATAGAATGCTCTTGTTTTAATTAAAACGTATCACTGAGAGAGAGGGGAAACTAGTCTACTTTATCTACCGGTACTTAAAATAAATGCATGTATTTTATTTTTCTAATTATGAATTGGGGAATGTGTGCATATTGTTCTGAATTTTCTCTATAGGTGTGGTTGCATTGGAAAAGCTGGATATTATATTTAACACAAT